GGGCAATGCTAGCCCTCGGTGTAGGGGATCTGGTCTGCAGGTCCGACTCTGGGTCCCAGAGTTCAAACTGTATCCCACCAGGGAAACGATGTTCCGGTCCCAATTCACCACAAGGAGCCCAAGCTGGGTCTATGTCTCTCAGCCTCTGGAGTCGGCACCGTTCTCTGGAATCCAGTGCAGCAGCACCTGGGGGGCGGTGGGTAGGGCTCACAGTCTGAGTTCCCCTGAGTCAGCTGTACGGTCCCAAGAGGGAAGGTCCGTTCCCCTGGAGGTGCTCGGCTGGTGGCTCTATGTGTCTCTGGGCAGCCCGGGTAGGGTCGGCGGAGGGGAGGAGGAGGCAATATGGCGCCTGCCGCACGGCTCGGGTCTGTGCACACGGAGGTGCCCGGAGGAAGTTGGGAACCTGATGCCATGTCTGCTACACGCTCACCACTGGCTGGAGGCGGCGGCGGTCTCTGGGCTGGTGTCCGCAGGTCTCTCCACCCGCTGGGGAGCCCACCAGCAGTCCCAAATGCAGGGGAGGGGAAACAGCAAATCCACCTACCCTTGCTGCTGGTCTCCGGGCTGCTCCAGTGATCTCAGCCTCCAGTTCTCCTCCGCAGCCTCCTCCCGTGGAGTCTCCTGGGGTCTCAGGTACCCCTCCTTCTGGCCCTTGTCCGCTGTATGCTTGTCTTCTTGCTTCTTTCCTCTAATTTCTGCTAGAATCTCTGCTACTCTATATCTTTTAATTGGGGGATTTAATCCATTTACATTCAAGGTTATTATTGATAGGTGAGGACTTATTTTTTTTCTGAATTTTGTATATTTTTTGTTCCTTACCTCCTCTCTTACTGTTTATTTTCATGGTTGGGCGGTTTCTGTAGTGATAAAGTTTGATTCCTTTCTCTTTGTCTTTGTGTACTGGCTCTATCAGTGAATTTTATAATTTTGCATGTTTTCATTATGGTGATTATCATCTTTTTGCTTCGAGACATGAGAGTCCCTTGAATAATTCTTATAAGGTTGGTGTAGTGCTGATGAATTCCCTTAGTTTTTGCTTGTTTGAGAAAGATTTTATTTCTATTCCTAAAGGATAGCTTTACTCAGTATAATATTCTTGGCTGTCAGGTTTTTTTTTTCTTTTTTTCTGTACTTTGAATATCATCTGAATCCCTACTGGACTATGTGGTTTCCACTGAGAAGTCTGCTGCAAGTCTAATGGAGATTCCCTTATATGTGACTTAATGCTTTTCTCTTGCTGTTTTTCGAATTCTTTGTCTTTGACTATTGACAATTTGACTATAATGTGTCTTGGAGACACATGTTTGGGCTGAATCTATCTGGGAATTGAGCTTCTTGGATCTGGATGTCCTCTCTCCCAAGACTTGGGAAGTTTTCAACTATTATTTCATTAAACATGTCTCCTACACCTTTTCCTTTTTCTTTTCCATCTGGAACACCAATAATGGGAATATTTGTTTGCTTAATTGTATCCCATAAATCCTGTAGGCTTTCTTCATTCTTTTAAATTCTTTAATTCTCCTTCCTCCCTTCTTTCTTCCCTCTCTCCCTTCCTTCCCTCCCTCTCCTTCCTTTTTTTCCTGCCTTTCTTTCTTTTTTTCCTTCCTTTCTTTCTTCCTTTTCTCTCCTCTCTCTCTCTCTTTCCTTCCTTACTTCCTTTCTCGGTCTGCCTGAGTTATTTCACAATACCTGTCTTCAAGTCCAGAAATTCTTTCTTCTGCTTGGTTTAGCCTGTTGTTGAAGCTCTTAGTTGTATTTTCCATTTGATTTCATTTCATTCATTGAATTATCCAGCTCTAAGATTTCTGTTTTTTTCTTCTTCTTCTTCTTTTTGAGACAGAGTCTTACTCTGTCATCCCAGGTACAGTGCAGTGGCATCATCCCAGCTCACTGCAACCTCAAACTCCTGGGCCCAAGCAAGCAATCCTCCTGCCTCAGTCTCCCAAATATCTGGGACTACAGGTGAGCACCACAACATCTGGCTAATTTTTTTTCTATTTTTTAGTATAGATGGGTTCTCTTGCTCATGCTGGTCTTGAACTCCTGGCCTCAAGCGATTCTCCCACCTCGGCCTCCCAGAGTGCTAGGATTACGGGCATGAGCCATTGTGCCCATCCTGTTTGGTACTTTTTTATGGTATCTATCTTTTTGTTGAATTTCTCATTCAAATTGTAAATTGTTTTCCCAATTTTGTTGTCTATCTTTATTCTCTTGCATCTCACTGAGTTTCCTTGAGATTATTATTTTGAGCTGGATGTGCTGGCATGTACCTGCAGTCTCAGGTACTTGGGAAGTTGAGATAGGAGGATCACTTGAGTCCAGAAGTTCTGAGGTATAGAGTGCTATGCCCACTGTATGTTCTTACTAAGTCTGGCATCAATATGGTGATGTTCTGGGAGTGAGGGAACATTAGGTTGCTTAAGGAGGTGTGAACCAGCTCAGGTCAGAAACAGAGCAAGTTAAAACTGCTGTGCTGATCAGTAGTAGGACTGTGCCTGTGAATAGCCACTGCACTCCAGCTGGGGCTACATAGCAAGACCTCATCTTAAGTTTTAAATAATTTTGAATTCTGTTTCTGGCATGTCATATATTTCCTTATGACTGGGGTCTGTTACTGGAAAATTTCTGTGTTCCTTTGGAGGTGTCATGTTTCATTGCTTGTTCATGTTTGATGTGTCTCTACAATGACTTCTATGCATCTGGTGGAACAGCTGCCTCTTCCATTTTTATGGAGTAGGTTTTGTAGGAAAAGACTTATGTGCATAGATGGGTCTTAGTGTGTCAGTTGGGTGGGGTATGTTGGCTTTGGTTCTAGGTGGATGCAGTAGTGTAGTCTTAGTATAGTTTCTTTAGCTGTAATTTACGCTAGTGATGTTTTTGAGTGTCTCAGTGGTCTAGGCTGTGAGAGTTTGTGTGGTGGTGGTGTAGCTTTGCTGGAGGTAGATTCACTGGGCTATTTCTCAGGTCAGCGGTATGCGTGCTCACATGGTGGATCAGCCTACTTGGTGTCTAGCTTGCTAGGGATGGGGCTGCAGGCTTTTACTGTGGCTGGGGCCACAGGTGTGTGGTTGCTTAGCCAGTGCAGAGGCATGTCCGTCCGGGGTCAGCCTCTAGGCTGTTTCTCAGGCCTTGATCATGGGAAGGCCTAGAGGTGTGTCTGCCAGAAACAGAACCTCCAGGCTGCTTCTCAGGCCCTGAGTGTAGGTGTGGGGCCACTGGACAACTGTGGGGGGCATGTCCTACAGAAGGCAGGCCTGCTGCACTGTTTCTCAGGCCCTGGGCACAGGTGGGTAATCATTTCACGAGCCTGGGGGCATGTCTGCAGGGGTGGCTCACAGAGCTGTTACTTAGGCCTGGGCTGTAGGAGGCATGTATGCCAGGGGCAGCCTGTGGGGCTAGGATATGGTTTCTTGATAATAGCTCCCTGGCTGTTCTACTTGATCTGAAAACCTATAAACTACAGAGTCAATTTTGATACCCTGTTTCCCACAACATAGCCCAACAAACAATGGTGAGGCATAAGATAATCTCATTCCAATAGGGGAAACCAGGAGGCATACAGAAGCCATTCATGCAAAGTAATTCTCTTTTTATATTTCTTCCTGTGTGATTGTTTCAGTTATTATAGCTTTAAATATCATCCATACATTCATGACTTCCAAATTTCCTAACAATTCAAAGTGCCATACTAGAATATCCAATTACCATTTGACACCTTTACTAGGATATCTCACAGATATTTCAGATTTAACATGTTAAAATGAACTCTTGTTTTCCACTTTACCCCACTTCCTCCGCAAACTTGTTATTTTCCTGGTTTCCCCATCTTGGTAGATGATTCTACCATACATCTATTTGCTCAGACCAAAATCCAGGACTCAGACTTAATTATTGTTTTCTCTCTCACCTCTGTATTTAATCATCAGCAATTCTATATTTTCTTTCGCTAAAATATACTCTTTTCCTTCTCACCTAGGTTATAACAATTTCCTTATTAATCTCCCTCTTTTAATCCTTTTTTTGTTTTGTTTTGTTTTTGGAGACAGAGTCTCAATCTGTTGCTCTAGGTAGAGTACAGGGGCGTCATCATAGTTCATTACAACCACAAACTCCTAAGCTCAAGCAATCCTCTCGCCTCAGCCTCCTGAGTAGCTGGGACTACAGGGTGCATGCCACCACACCTGGCTAATTTTTCTATTTTTAGTAGAGACAGGGTCTCACCTTTGGCTCAGGCCGGTCTTAAACTCCTGAGCTCAAGCAATCCTTCTGCCTCAGCCTCCCAGAGTGCTAGGATTATAGGCATGAGCCACTGCACCCGGCCCCTCCTTTATTCTTGCTCCCTTCTAATTTCCTTTGACATCGCAGTCAAAGCAATATTTTAGTTGTTGTATTTTACTGTGGTACTCTCTTGCTCACAATCTTGCGTGAATTCTCATTATGCTTGGAGTAGAATCCAAATTCCTTATCATGGTCTAAAACGCTCATATAACTGGCCTTTGCCTATTTTTCTGACTTTATTCCCTGTCACTTTTCCCCTTACCCACTGTGCGTCATCTCCTCTGGGTTTCTTTCAGTTCTTTATGTTCTTCAGTTCCTCGAACATACCAAGCTTTCAAAAAATGTTTGTACCTATGCTATTCTCTATTCTTTGTCACTGTATTTGTTTGCTTCCTTTATAAAACTTATCCGAGTTTAAAACTTACTTAAGTTTTAAACTTATAAAACTGATTTAAGTTTTATACTATTAGTTTATTTGTTTATCGTCTGTCTCCCTAACTGGACTGTGAGCCCCACGAGGTCAGGAGCCATATTTGCCAATATATACCCAGTGCCTAGAGTGCCTACCATACAATATGCAGTCAAGAAATATTTGTTGAATATTGTTTAAAGGGATAATTTTGTTTTGAGATATTATAATTAACATTTAATTATTAATAATATGAAATGTATGGCTTCCTAATTCTCTTGCTGAAAGTAGCCTTTTATTTGTTTTCTTTCAGTAATTGCCCTTCCTTTTTGGCTGCTGCTTTAGCCAGAGCCACGTCAGATGAAGTCCTTCAGAGTGATCTTTCTGCACATTATATCCCAAAGGAAACCGATGGCACAGAAGGGACTGTGGGTGAGTACCTTTCTACATAATTTGTTTAAAAATACTAAAAATCTTCTCATATGTAGTGGCCTACGCATGAGTAGTCCTGCAAAATACTAAATCTAATTACACTTACCCACTGGTAGCAGGAGGAAAAAATACAAAAATTTTTTTTCAAATTAATCAGTAAAAGGAGGGAAGAAAACAAATACAAGGGTATTTTTAAAAAGGTAGAGTAGTATATGGAAGACAATTGGAGCAATAGAAGACTGTCATGAGTAATATCTAGATAAATGGAAAGACTAGAAAGAGGAACGTGAAGACACAACAAAAGGACGAGTGGTGAGGGGAGGAAGAGTTTGACCAAAACCTATTTAAAATTTTTAGCTTACTTTCAAGAATCCAAGTAAAAAGATTTAAAAATTCAAGAAATCAGTTGTAACAAAATTTCTCATTAATTGTATTAAATTTTGTATTTGCCAATAAATAGAGCTCTTTATGACAAATATTAATATGTCTAATCGCATGGATCATTGTACATCTTCCCAAACGCTCCCAGGAAAATAATGAGACTCTATCTCTTTTTTTCTTTATTTTTTTCTTCATATCCCCTTAACTAAGAAGCTCTATTTCTTAATAAAGGCATATTTATTAATATCTTAGGCTTTTACATATTTGACAGGATCTAAAAAAAATTTTTGGTAAAAATTAGGGAACTATTCCTCAAAATTGTTAAGAAATTTTAATATTTCATGCTATTTGTTCTATTTAAAGCATTTGCCTTTAAAAGTGGTACATAAGGAGCAAAGCATATAATGAATCAGAAAAGCTAGATTCCAGAGAATGTGAAGCAGATATAAAAGTAAACATTCCTTTTCTTCCGTTTTCTTTCTAGATTGTTTTTGACAGAAAATTGGCAAGGAAGGAATTACTCTTCTTGTTTTTACTGAGAGTGATTCACCTAGAACCAAATTATTCCAGAGTCAAGCTGGATAGGATTCCAAAGCACTGGTCTTTCCTCTGGTACTGATGCATAAAGTAAAACCCCTATAATGCAAAGGCAGACAGGTTAACTATTCTGCCTCATTCTAGCCAGTGTAATGGCTGGGTTCAGCTCCAGCTCAGTGCAGTGACATTAAGAACTGATGAGTAATTTACAGCTGTGAGGGGATAGACTACTACTTTGGATAATTTTCACTTTTTTGCACTCCTTTTTAAAAATTTTATTTTTCCATTTCAAGCAGCAATTATTTATATACTGATGTCCTACACCACTCCCCGAAGAAGGAGTTATACTTACTGTTGCAAGATTGAAGTGTTGTCCTATATGCCTGCTTTGGGAGAATTTTCTATACCCCATAAGATAGCAAAAGTGAAATTAAGAGTTTTTCTTTTGGTGGATATCATGGGTTAGTTTGATTTTAAATGTTTCCAAGAGATTACTCAGGAATGTCTCTATGTTATTGCTATGATTTAGATTGATCTATTATCACTCTATTTGCAAATCTTTAATTTATTTAACCCAAGTCACTCTGTGAACTGCACTGAGGAGAAACTCTATAAGGCATATTGTGTTTATCCATACATCAGAGGGCTGAATGAGCACATTGAATAAGGCCTGCTGTCACTGGCTTAAAGTCCCCACTGAAGTGCCTTTTGTCTCTCTTCTTGGTTGTTTCCAAAAACAGACTTTTAAAAAAGTCCTTAAAGTTCTTTTCATGTTTACGTCATCCCTAACAGAATGTTTGCTAAGTGACCTTGTATATCTGACTTGGTACAAATTCAGTGTAGTGGATGTAACTCTTGTCCAGGCAACCTAAAACCAATTTGAAATATCACAGTGTAAAAATAAAAAACAAGAAGGGGAAAAGGACACTAATACAGAGCAAATTAAAAGAATTAGAAAATTTGTATAAATAAATTGAAAACTTGGGCCGGGTGCAGTGGCCCATTCCTGTAATCCTAGCACTCTGGGAGGCTGAGGCAGGATGATCACTTGAGCCCAGGAGTTTGAGGTTGCTGTGAGCTAGGCTGATGCCAAAGCACTCTATCCTGGGCAACAGAGTAAGACTCTGTCTCGAAAAAAAAAAAGAGAAAAAAAGAAAAAGAAAATCTGGATATTTTCTAGAAAAATATAAATTAACAAAGTTTAGCTAAGAAGAAAGAGATTCAGAAAATTGTCAAGGAGCTATCTCCTCAAAAGGTCACAGTACATATAATTCTATAGGTGAACATTTTCAAATGATCAGAGACAGGTAATTCCAATGCTTTTTAAAATGAATGCTCTGATTACACAAGGAAAGAAGGACAATTTGTGTAATATAATAATACTGATATCAAAACCTGCCTCAGACAAAACTAAAAAAGGAGACTGGTCTTGGTTTAAAAACCTTAAAATATTTGTATATTGAGTACAACAGTTAATTCATTCAATGAATATTTTATTGAGGGCCTACCATATGCTCAGTATTGTACTGGAGAAACAGCAGTTGAACAAAACAAAAATATCAGGAAGTCTATTAGCATAATTTAATATCAATAGGTTAAAAGAAAATTAAACAGAATAGCCTCTAAAGATGCCAAAAGAAGCATTTGATAATGTTTAATATCCATTCCTAATTTTAAAAATATTCTTACAGTAGGCTATAACTTGGACATCATAGGACAAAATTTGGCTCAAACTAATCTTTTATGCTTAATGTATACTGAGGAACTTTTTCATGGTAAGTGACCACAAAACACAACTCCATTTGTGTGGCTTCAGCAAAACAGAATTTATGGGCTACCCCTCAGGCTAAGGGCCACACAGCTGGATTCAAGACTTCGAATGACATCAGCAGTCCTTAGCATTTCTCCAACTCTCAGCTGTACTCCCTTTCATCTTGATTTTATTTTCAGGCTCCATGTGGTGGCAAGATGAGTTCTTAGGAGTGCTAGGTCTTCATTTGCCCAAGTTCAACTTGAGCAGGAAACCAAGAGTCCATTTCCTCAGTTGCTCTTATATTTTTCACAGGATTCACTCTAATCAGCCCAGTTTGGACCATTTCCCATTCCTGAACCAATCACTGTGGCCAGAAGAATGTGATTCTGTAATTGGCTAGACCTGAATCATATGTTTTGCCCCCAGATGCACACGGACTGAGGGTAAAGAAGGAAATGTTACTGAAAGAAAGAGGAATGTCTGCTAGGTTTCAAAGGACACTTTAAAGCAAAGTTCTGATTCAAAATGGCAAAAAAAATGACCAAAAATAAAGTGATTAAGAAATATGAAGGACCTGTATTAAAACTCTTGAGCAACATAAAAAGGATTTAAATAAAACAATATAATTCATTCCTAGATAAGACTCAATATGAAAAAAGTCAATTTTTACAAATTAATCTATAAATTCAATGTGATCCCAAACATAATAGCAACATGATCTTCTGCCCAAATGTGGCAAAATGATTAGAAAGGAAAAATAAGTGTCAAACTACCCAAGTGACTTTTTTTTTAAAGAGACAGTGTCTTGCTCTCTCACCCAGGCTGGAGTGCACTGATGTGATCCGTAGCTCACTGCAGCCTCGAACTCCTGGGCTCAAGTGATCCTCCCACCTCACCCTCCCAAGTAGCTAGGACTATAGGTGCATGCCACCTTCCCTGGCTGACTTTTTAATTTTTTTGTAGAGACAAGGCATTGCTATGTTGCCCAGGCTGGTCTTGAATTCCTGGCCTCAAGTGATCCTCCCGCCTTGGCTTCGCAAAGTGCTGGGATTCCAGGTGTGAGCCATCAAGCCCGGGTCCCAAGTGACATCTTTTAAAATTAAGAATTATAGGTAGGAAAACTAGTCCTTCTGGTATTAAAACATAGTTTAAGGTTTTAGTAACTGAAAGAGAGTGGTACCATTGTAGAAAGAGATGGAGAGATGAAGCAGAAGACAATCAAGAAGCATATACATATTTTAATATTTTAATGGTGATTAATTTATATAAGTTTGCATATTCATTTACTCAGTAAACATCTAATGAGCCCCTGCTGTCTGCTAGGGACTACACTATGGCTAATCAAAGACAATTAAGACAGTTTTTATCTATAGTCCGATTTGGGATATGAAGAGCATGGACTTTAGAGTCAGATAGACCTAGGACTGAGAATAGTTTCACCTATTTGTGATATGTTCTACAGACATAGAATGTAGCAAATACTCAATAAATGTTATCTATTATTACAAAATGTGGTTAAGAGCTATAATAGATGGTATAAACAAATGTCAGGGAACATGATGGAGGGAGCACCAGGGAGGGGACATGAACAGACCTAGTGGTTTACCAAATGTTAGAGGAAACTGGTATTGTTTCCTATAACCAATTTAATCTGTCTATACCAGCTCTGTCCAATAGGTAGCACAATGATGGAAATGCTCCTTACCTGCGTTGTCCAATGTGGTGACCTCTAGCCGCATGTGGTTATTAAACACATGTGGTTATGACCTAAAACCAAACACATGTGGTTATGACCCAAAAACCAAATTTTAAATTTTATTTAATTATTTTTTTAAGAGCCGAGTCTTGCTATTAATATGTTGCCCAGGCTAGACAGCAGTGCGATTATTATAGGTGTGATTATAGTGCATGACAGCCTCGAACTCCTGGGCTCAAGAGAGCCTCCTGAATAGGTGGGACTTACAGGCATGCACCATTGTTTCTGGCTAACTTAAATAGCCATATGTAGTTAGTAGTTCTCTTTTTGGACAGCACAAGTCTATATAATAAGAGCAACATACAAAACAAAGAATGATATAATGGTTTATATTATTATCTGGGAATCTAGGAACTATCCTGATAGTTAATATCAGTTATTTGTTTTGCCCCACCCCATTCTTCCTCAGAGTTTCTAAATTCACTTGATTGTTTTGTAATCTTCTGTTATGATTGAGTCAAATGAGGACATATCCATCTCGGGGTCTGCATTGGGGGGCAATAATACTGCAGGGACCAGAGGGGTTGGAGTGATCCAAGTAGGTAATTGATGGCTGAAAGCTAGTGCTTAAAAAAAATTGGAGTTGCTCAAAACGGTCAAAATGTTGTCTATTGGTCTCAGTTTTCTTCTTGTACATATCTCCTCAGGCTGTATTTGCTCTTTGAACTTCTCTTCTCTTTCAAGTGTACCCTTGATCTTCAGTTATATAAAAATGTTAAGGGGGACAAAGCACAAAACAGGATTTACCACCCTGTGCTATGTTAATGAGGAGAAAAAAGGAACAAAAACTTGATCAGCTTTTCGAATACAGTCATTTTAAAAAGAATTTTGAATAAGAAAACAGGTAAATGTAGTCACAGATTAAGGGAAAGGCAGGACTTGGAATAAAATTGGGAATCCAAGTTACCAGGTTGTTCTAGAACATACAGTCTCTCTTCTTTGGGATTTGTGTTCTAGATTGGAGGAGGCATGTGTAGCCATTGCCCATCTGGCACATATTTCCTCAGGCTGTCAAGCTATATCTGATTTAGTAAACTAAAACAAATTTTAAGTTCTAAATTTTTTTTTACCTGAGATGTAGGAGGACCCTTTAAAATACTGGCCTGAGAAAACCTAATCTCCCCTTGGTTATTTCAACAGCTGCAGTTTAAGTGGAGGACAACCTGAGTGGAAGGTAAAATGATGTGAGATACAATCTCTTCAGTCCATTCAGTGTTGCTTAACAGGCTTACACACCTGTTCATATACTGAGGGACACAAGTCTGCCCCAGAAGTCAGCTAGTCTACTCTGCCTCAGAGGTCAATAGCAGACTTCAGGTGATGTAGCAGACTGCTCCCCTTTGTTCTATCCAGGGTCACACATATAGACAGAATTTAAGTACTTTTTCCTTAGGGAAATATAAAACTTTTAGCTCATTTGTTAACCTACTAGCTAAACTATTTAAACTACTGCCTAAAATTTTAATAAACAAATACATCAGGTAGCAAAAATATATAATTCAGTTCCAAATAATGGTCATTTATAGAAGAGAAAAGTTAGGGAACTGGGTCTAAAGGAGGTCAGGAAGAAAGGGAGAGACAAAGACAAATGGTAATCAAGGTAAACCTTTTTATTCCTATAGTTTGTAAGCTGTTTTCATAGGTCTTTCATATTCCAGGTAGCTGGATAACCACTGTTCACATTGCAGTCATTCTTCTAAGCAGAGGAGGCTTGGCTGTCCAGGTGATACCATAGCAGCCAACCAAAGAGGAACCAGTGCTCTGAACTGGAGAGCAGTGTGGCCAGAGCACTTCCCGGGCTGGAAGAAATCGAGCCTAGGAATAGGTCCAGCCCTGGCCACAGGTTTTCTCCTCAGGACATAAGGGTATCTTGATGACAGCTGCTGGCTGATGATTTTCTACTAGACAGGTTGTCATTTTCTTTCTTCAGAAGCATTTCATTTTTCTTGAGAAGGATGAATTTCTATTAAGGAGGAACCTGACTTAGGTGACCTACTTCTGTCTTTACCAAGAAAGCAATTGAAAAGCAGTTTTACAAGGCTCTTCATTGGGGGTTTCTGTGTTTCTTTCACAGAGATTGAGACAGTGAAATTGGCCCGTTCTGTCTTCAGCAAACTACACGAGATTTGCTGCAGCTGGGTGAAAGACTTCCCTCTCCGCAGGAGACCCCAGCTTTATTATGAGACATCAATCCATGCCATCAAAAACATGCGCAGGAAAATGGAGGACAAACATGTCTGCATTCCTGACTTTAATATGCTCTTCAACCTAGAGGTAAAGGGCACTTCTGGAGAGTCAGTGAGATTTAAAACACAAAACAAACACCTTCATGGTCCTGTTAGAAAAGGAGAACTTCTGATATATTTCTAATAGTATCTCTCATAGGTTAGACAAGGACTCAATGCAAAGTGGCACAAATTTGCTTGCATTAGACAATGGAAAAGGAAGTATTTATTTTATGTTATTTTGAATAGGTAATGCATTCATATGGTTCAAAATTGGGAAAATAAAAATCTCTCTCATTATCCTAGTCTTCTATATACTCAATTCCCCTCCACAAAGGCAAGAGAGTTTCTTGCGTAATCTTCCAGAGCTATTCTATGGTCTGTATAAGCAAAAAATAAACAAAAAACAAAAGCAAAAAAAACCCCAAAACTGTATCTCAATAAAGCTATTTTTTTAAAGGAAACTATTTCTATAGTATAATCAAACGGTGTTTATTAAGTTTTCATACTGCTATGCTGCCGAAGCAATACAAACACAAACATAAAAGAATGATTTAAGTCTGAGACAGTTTTCTGATTTCATGTGATTTTCTTTTTAAAATCTTGGCCTCTGAGATAGGAAAGTAGCTGGAATTACATTTCATGAATCTCTGTGACTGACAAATTGGATCCATATGAGCTTTGTCAGCTTAATAACTATTTTCTTGTTAACTTTCTCTTCTTTTTTATTAAATATATTATGTTAATGCAAACAGAAGTAGGTTTGTTTCCTTTGCCTGTCATTTGCCTCTTTTCTTCACTCAAGTCCATAACTTAAAAATTACAATGTAGTAATTTATACAAAGTACAACATTTCCTTCATTTAGGAGCTAAATTTAAATTTTAGCTGTCAAGGTCTAATCAGCAGTAATGGTGGGTTGGTAACTGGTGCTTATGTTATAAAGATGGATCAGCTGATGTCTATGTTGCCAGTACCATGCCCGTGCAATTGTAACCCAAAAGGCTCTTGCATCACTGTGTCCTATGTCACCATACCCACTTAGACATTATATTTAAGGGCATTACTGTTGTGTGTTGACTTGGTTGATTTTTATTTTGCCTTCTAATTTCAAAATCAACCTAGAGGCCTAACTCAGAAAGGAGCACCTTGGTATAGTGAACCAGGCTTTGAGAGCAATGTTTCTAAATATATTTAGAAACTTATAGATTTTCACATCCTTTGATGTGGTAATTCCACTTTTAATTCTTTATTATAAGAAAACAGAAATACAGAAAAGTCATCTATGTTTTGTTTGACCTAAATATTTTATATAAGATTATTTATAATAAAATTGAAGATGATCTAAATCATAAAAGGGAATAACTGATATGCTCATAGATATATAAGCCACTGAAAATAATGTCTTTAACACTTAATGACATGGGGAAATGCTAATGATACGATAAATGGCAAAGCAGGATATAAAATATTATGCACAGTATGATCCTAATTTGATTTAACAAATATGCATGTAGGCTTGGTGCAGGGGCTCATGCTTGTAATCCTAGCACTTTGGGAGGCCGAGGGAGGAGGATTGCTTGAGGCCAGGAGTTTGAGACTAGCCTGAGCAAGAGTGAGACCCCGTCTCTACAAAAAACCAGAAAAATTAGCTGGGTGTGGTGATGGATGCCCATAGTCCCAGCTGCTTGGGAGGCTGAGGCAGGAAGATGGCTTGAGTCCAGGACTTTGAGCTTGCAGTGAGCTATGATGATGCCACTGCACTCTAGCCTGGGTGACAGAGCGAGACCCTGTCTCAAAAAAAAAAATGTATGTATATAAAAAAGACTAGTTATCTGTGGATGGTGGGATTATAGGTGATTATTTATTTCCTTCTTTTTTTATTATTTTTTTTATCTTTTTTTTTTTTTGATGCCTTATCCATTAGGCAACTGAGTCTATTTCCTTCTTTACACTTCTCTATTAGCCTAAATTATCAAACATTATTGTACGGAAAACATTAGTAAACATCAGTAAATCTACAATGCAAAATTCTATTTAAAAAAAAAAGAAAAAAAATCAGTAAATGTTTTTTTTGTTTTTTGGAAAAGAAGCTATACTATTTTTTTTTTTAAAGAAATCCACTTGGTTCCCTTTTGTTTCTTCTGATGCTATATTGAGTTGCTTAAAAATGAGTACTGCTTTAGTGGATATAGAAATTCCACATGTAGGGTTATTTCTAGATAGTTCTGTTTAATCAGTCTTCAGTGACATTAAATTGCTAAATGAACTAGTTGTAATATTTGTATTAGACATAGATTTCATAGTATTTGGGTGTTATTCTATGGGCATTATATTTGGTACTTTTGTAAATGTAATATATACCCTTTAAAAAGAACTTTTTCAAAGCACAGATATACCTGTTGTTTTAGTAGCCCTTCCAAATCCCCATGAGATAGCAACTCATCCCTAATTGACAGAAGAAAATTATATGATTTGCTCAAGATTCAATAACAGGGCTTGGATTCCTCTAAGAGCCTAAGGAAAAAGTAGTCAAAAGGCAAATGAAAACCATCACGTACTGTTGCCTAATAAGAGCTCAGGACTCAGTGAGAGTTCAGGGAGTCACAAATCTAAGTGAGACAGATCTGAGATTTAAACACTTGAGTTGATGATGAGGAAGCAAACTATGTAATGGTTGAAATGTAATCTAGGTTTCTTTTGTCAAGACAAAGCACAGAGTTGGAAGATCCCTTAGCAGTTGCCTTTGCAAAAGAATCTGAAGCTAAATCTTGGATCATGGGAAGAGGCAAAGTGGTCAGCCACACAGAGAATTTGGGCTTGAACCATTTGATGTGGTTCAAATTTGGTTAACTAGTTTAGAGATTCTGTGCTATTTATGGTGAGAGTTCAAGGTGACTATGAATGATTTATGAAAGAGGTATTATAGTTTAGAAACATATATATGCTCTCATGTCTTTATGTATTTTAAACCTGAACAAAATTGGCCTTGTGCTGGAAGGCCTATTATTTTCTATTGTTCTCAGGTTCTAATTTTACTATTAAAATACTTGTATTTTGAAAAAAGCACTCAATCTAGAACAGCTTTTGCTCAATCCTCCTCATACCTTCTTTTTCCTCCCCTTCTCTCCAACTTGTAACAGCAATTTAGAAGCAAATGTATGTGGGTGGTTTCCATGGTACAAGACAACAACTTTCACAGAGAGAGAAGGCACTTCAGCCTGAGCTAATTGGGCATGATGTGTTCCAGTGTTCTGGTGTGTAAACACAGATGCCCTAATATTGCAGGTACTTCAGCAGTCGATCAGGCATGTTAGAAAAGAGAAACAATTAGTCTCATTATTCTCAGGGACAAATGTAGTAGAGGAGAAGGATGGACAACAGTGATTCCAGGGGCTTGGTTCAATTGAATCATTCTATACCCAACTCCCTTAACTGTTATGTTTCTATTGACAGGACCAGGAAGAACAAGCTTACTTTGCAGTGTTTGATGGCCATGGGGGAGTGGATGCTGCCATTTATGCCTCCGTTCACCTCCATGTTAACTTAGTACGCCAGGAGATGTTCCCCCATGATCCTGCTGAGGCCCTGTGCCGGGCCTTCCGGGTCACTGATGAGCGGTTTGTGCAGAAAGCAGCCAGGGAGGTATGCCACTTTCCAGCTATGAATGCACTAGCCAAGCTCAACTTGGTCTGTGTGGGTAAAGGGCTGTTTGGATTCCGTATTCTTGACCCACAGTGTTGGCTTCTGTTGTAGTTGTAAGTCTAATTCCTTCTTCAGAAATAGTTTCCGTGGGGTACAATGATGTACTGTACAGAAACTCCCAAGCTGTAATTTTCTGGATTCATTTCTGTAATCATTGCCAGATTTGGCCAGTGAGTTTTATCTTTCTTTTATTCACCATTGCCTGTTAGGTTCACACCAGGACCATTTCTCTAAGCAGACTCTTGCTGACAAGATTGGATATGGTGAATAAAACAATGGTCTAAAAAAGAAACAGAAACTGGGATTACTTCCATACATTTGGTTCTAAATGGGTAGGCAGTGTTTTGCTATGTATCTTTTGAGGGAAAATTTGCTTGGAGAGGGTGAATCCTTAGATGATCTTTGAACTGATTTTCTCTCAACAGGAAGAAGTAGTCATAGCTCTTGTCCTATATTGCTAAGGTTAATCAAACCGAAGTTTTTTACTCTGAATGAATGACAGGGGTTCTATATTAAAGTCTAAAAAAAAATTACCATTCTGGGCATTGGTACATAATTAACTACAGTACGCTATATTGGATTTTTAATTGGGGACCAGTTAAAAATAATTTTTAAAAGTAATTACAGAATTAGATACATAACATAAGCCTCCTGTCCTATGACTTAAACATTAACTCTTTTTAAAATGAACTTGAGACAGGGTAATCATTCAATCCATTTTTTGATCTCATAGTTATGCTATAAAACAATAATGGGTCTTGGAATTAATGAAACAATAATTTAGAACTATTTGGTATTAACCAAGAGAAATATTCTTTACCTTCTCTTTTGTCCCCCAAGTTTGGATTAATATTCAGGTTCAACAACAGTTAACCACTGGAGTGTCACATAAAGAGGTGGGGCTGGAAAATAAAATACAACTCTTGCCCTCACACCTTCCTAGTCTCTTGAGGACCAGCGTTCTGCTTGGCTGTCTCTAGAAGCTGCTGGCTCTCATCATTCTGACTGAGGACAAGACCAGACCCCTGATAGGTGATCTGTAATCACCACTATGAAACAAAGAGAATCACTCTGTCTTCTTCATGATCTATTCTCTTCCTTTTCCTCTGTCTCCTCAAAATAAGGGCTTTTTTTTCTGGCCATGTTTTACCTCATTTGTTTTGTCAATGATCCTGGTATCGCTCAGTTCTGCCAATAGTTCTCTTGAATAATTTAGGTTTGTCTCAGCAGTCACTTTTTTCCTACTTGTGCTTCCAAGTGCTGCTAACTGCTGGGAAGAAAGTTGCTATTCCTGTTGTGCAGCAGCCCTGCCTCCTGTTCTCTCCAGGGCACATGCACTCAAGTGTCTTTATCATGTGTTCTAAGGGGCTGAGTTTTTGAATGTTCTGTGTGGGAAGACATTTTATTGGTGGGTGAGGATTTATAACAAACTTTCCCTATGTAGGGAAAATGAGAAGTTGTTTTTTCTTTGGATACAAGTGGCCTTTTACCACCCCTGACGCATTGATTCTAATTTAGGCCAGGTCCTTAGTAACAGAAAGTCATGCTCATTTGGTGGTGACTCATGTCAAATGGGGATGTCATTTTAGTAGGATCAAGAGCTTTAACTACAGTGGTAGCTACTGCAGTGAAATTCCAGGCTGTTAGTTCTTTATGTGATGTTCCAAAAGCAAAGGCCCCTAAAAATATTATAGGGAGGATTTTTTTTTTAAAGGTATAAGCATCTTAGTACTCCAGGGAATGTATGCTATGTGTTGGCTCCTTATCTTAATATCCAGAGACTGGGAGCATTTGTTATATACCAGTCAGATGCTTTATATATGATTTTGTACAGCTAGGATTCTCGCACTGAACATACAGTAGGTTAGTAAGAAAAGAGAGACAAGAATTTAGAAATCTTTAAGGATTGATAGAGTGGATTTAGCACAGGACTGAGAGGAAAAAGAATTTTCAGTTCTTTTTTGTGTACTAATCAGTTACCTATCCTTGGGTAAGTCACATAACCTGCCATAATTTTCTTATCTGTATTAAAAATGAAATTAATAATCATCCTTGCCTTGCATGTTACAGATCAGGTGGATTAATGTGTGCATACACAGAAATACATACATGTACATATGAATTGAGAAATAGGAGTTGTGTATTTGTGAAATTGCATTAATAGTCTAGCTTCTAGCTAAAAAGTTTGTATTAATTATAACTTCTCAATGAGAATTTAGTGTCTATTTATTTTCACTGACTTTAGTTTTATGTAAACTACTTTCAGAGCTTAAGATGTGGGACCACAGGAGTAGTGACTTTCATCAGAGGCAACATGCTACATGTGGCCTGGGTGGGCGATTCCCAGGTTATGCTTGTGAGAAAGGGCCAAGCTGTTGAACTAATGAAGCCACACAAACCAGACAGAGAGGTAAGTATGGTCTGTTCTATTAAAGCACATGCCATAAAGGCAATTTTCTAGTTATTAATTAGGATTCACATAATTATTATAATTATTGCCATTATCTCAGCACTGTGCCCATCTTCCAGTGGAGAAATAAAGAGAACCTCTTCATGAAGCTGATGAGTAGTATTATATCTCTTGTTTAAAGTAGATGAATAAATCCTGAATCCAGTTATTTGCTTCTTTTTATTGCATTGCTGTTTAGGATGAAAAGCAGCGAATTGAGGCCCTTGGAGGTTGTGTAGTCTGGTTTGGTGCCTGGAGGGTGAATGGAAGTCTATCGGTGTCCAGAGCTATTGGTAGGAAAAACTAATTTTTGTGTCTCCAAATTGTCCTCTTCTAGCTCATTGTTTTATACTTACTGTGACACAAAGGAACCTGAGATGACAATTTATATTAACAGAGTGCTTATTATTTAAAATAACAACTGGACAATGCCTCTTTTAATTATTTAAGCCTGTCCATTAATATACTTAAATTTCATTATTAAAAGGGAATCATATCAAGAAATGAAGAATTTACTAGTTTCTGTCCTTTTTTTTTTAAATGGAAACCTTTAATCGTTAGTACACAAATCTGCTTAAAACCGCTGTGATCCTCACTTCATTCCATTTGGGTCATATTTGGCTTCAATCAGTATTTTCCAGAGAATGGAAGCCTCTCTCCATATTTTACCCATATTTATTGTTTATATCTTTAAGTTTTTTCAATGAATTTTTAAAATGACAAAACATTTTTCATAGGAAAAGTATTGTTCTTTTGACATAAAAGCTATTTTCATGTGGAAATATATGTCATATATGTGGAATATAGTAATTTGTCAGACATCCCTGGGGTTTCAAAGAATCTGCCTCCCTGGGACTTAAATTTTTCAAAAGAAGGGGAAAGTCAATGAAACTGTAAAGGTATAGGTCAAAGAATTAAGTTACCTGTTTCTTTGTTTCACTTTGGGCCCTGGGTTTATTATTTTTAGGCTTCATGGCTTAGATTCATTTCCTGGTTTTTAAAAAAGAATAAATCGATATGTGTATATATGTGGGCGATGTATATATGCATATATACTGCAGTTTTTAATCTCTGCTTCCCTAAAGAAATGAAGTAACTGGCCACAGGGATAACATGGATGAATGGAATTCACATCCAGTCCCCAAATTTAGTTTATCATCACCAAAAAAATTCTAGAACATTAAGAAAATCTTAAAGGGTTTAGTCTCACCACTGATTTGAGTTCCTCTCACTCTTTAGGAAGGTGCTGGCAAACTGTGAAGTGGCCCAAATATGAACAGCAGAAGGCTGAAAGAGAAATAGCTAAAAGATTCTACAAATACCTTCCGAAAAATTGAGAGTTGGCTTTACCTTAAACTGAGGGAGTTATTAGCTTTAGAATAAGGCCAAAAAGGGGAATTTCTTATTTCTAAAATACAGCCTATATGGAATTATTTTTGACAACTCTTAACCAAAGACCGCTTTCCCCTTGATCTTCCGTTTCTGTCAGAGGAATGAGTATCTTTAATGCTTATTACAGAACCAACTTACTAGAGGATATTTGCCTTTTATTGCTTCTAAAAATATAACAAAAGGGGAACTAAAGCAGGGGAAGAAGGTACTTGAGTAAGTGACAATCTAAGAGAACAAGGGGGACTGCACAGAGGAAGTGACTTTGAGTTGGATATGGAGGAGAGTGTGTAGGGAAGGAAATCCCAGGAAAAGGGAAGGATAAATACATGGGGGTTTGAAAGGACAAGCAGTATTTTAGGCATAGCAACAAGTACAGGAGTCTAGAGCAGAGGGTGGGAGTGGTAAGAGATTAGAAGTGTTGGTGCCATATTGCAGAGGGCTTTATTGCAAGGCTAAGTAGTGTGGACTTTACCAGGTGAGTAAGCAGAGAGCCCTCACGAGTCAGGTTTGCATTTATAAAGATACTGGTAGTGACCACATGGGAAGTGGGCCAGAGTGGACAGCGCCGACATGAGCGGGCGATCACTCAGCTACAAAGCTATGTGGAAAAGGGTACATACTGATGAGGCAGATTGGTAGGTGGAAAACCCCACTACAAAGGTTACAGAGAACAGTTAGCTGAGGGAGAATAAGCAGTAACGTAAGGGGCAGGTGTAGATTCAGTTTCTTGGACAGCTCGATGGTGAAGGGGAGAAAGGAAATACTGTGGTGGCTTGAGGGAAAAACCTTCCTTTATTGTTTCTATTTTTAGGATGAAGATATTTTTTATCTGAGCATGTTGGTAGGAAAAAGAAAGCAAGTAGAGGAGAAACTGAACACAAGAGAGTAGAAAAGCCAGAGTCCTAGGAAGACTGGACCAACAGAGCAGGCTAGCTTTGAGAAGGGAAAGGGCCACCTCTTACTCTGAGGAAATGGTAGCAGATAGATATAGGGGAATTTCTACAGACTAAAAAAAAAGTGGGGGCAGTAGGAATTGAGGAAATTCAAGCCTGATAAACTTAATTTTCTTTGAGCAGGAAATTAGGCCATCTACCAAAATCCAGTAGCTTAACTAGGAGTTAAAGAATATGAGAAAGATTTGGAAAGCTCGTGGAATAAAATAGGGGACCATACAAAGGGACAAGAAAAAGGATTCCTGAGCAAAGTTTAACTCTACTTAAGAAATAAATGATACTTTAAAAATGAAAAGCTTTTCAACAGTTTCTCCCTATGAGCCCTTCAGATTTATAATCCAAAATTGACAGAGGCATGATATGTTTCCTAACATATGGAGAGAGGAGGATGAAGACAAAAGGATGTTGCCGTTTCTACCATGAAATGGATATTCATGCTTTCCTATCAAATTTGGGGGCGAAATGTCATGAATTTGACACCCTACAGTAGAGCAGGTGAAAAGCCAGAATTCTGGCAGGCATTTTCTCTGTGCAAATCTTTGTATGTTCTGTTCCAAACTAACAGTTGCAGTAGTCTTTTAATTGAAGCACTAAAACAACATTTTTGGGAACAGTATGAGTCAGAGCACATTTATTTTTAGAAGTAGAATTCAGAAAATAATGATGATGATGATAATACAGTCAGGTAGAGTAGGGGATAAGGAAATTTAGTAAAGTGGATTGGTGGAGGATACTGATGCCAGGATTGGGTTTTAATTAGTTCTAATAGGCTATTGGGAGGCATTATAGTATAGAGGTGACATTGATGAAATTAAAACCACTCTCAAGAAAGATAGTTTTGACTACTGTAAGAAATAATGGGCCAGGCAAGGTGGCTCATGCCTGTAATACTAGCACTCTGGGAGGCCAAGGTGAGAGGATCACTTGAGCTCAGGAGTTCAAGACCTGCCCGAACAAGACCCTGTCTCTACTAAAAATAGAAAAAAGTGGCTGGGGGCATGGTGGCACACACCTCGTAGTCCCAGCTACTCAGGAGACTGAGGCAGGAGGATCACTTGAGCCCCTGAGTTTGAGGTTGCTGCAAGCTATGATGATGCCACTCACTGTACTCTAGGCTGGGCAACATAGCGAGACTCTGTCTCAAAAAAAAAAGAAAAGAATAAAATAGAAACTAGTCTAGATATGAATAAGATGAAAGGGTTATATGTTTGAGAATGAATGGAAGGAGTAAGATGAGCATTTTTGCATTTTTATAGGGTCAAAAGACTAGTTTCTTATCTAATAGATATACTAACACAGGTAATTATATTAAGCAATGAAGAGAATGATCAGAAATTTGGTTTGTTTCTTTCAGTGTGGACTTGCTCTCAAATCTCAATGAAATCTAATCTAACCACCAGGAAAAGAACAGAGCTACTAAATCAACAAAGTTTTCCTACGTAGGACTGAATTTTTCAGTACAGCAACAAATTTAGATTTGACATTGTTGCTCTGTTCAGCTAAGCCTAAATCATGGCCAGAGGCACAGATTCAGAATCTAAGCTAGAGAGGAATTAAGCCCAGTGACTGGCAATTATTTAACTAGCAGTAAGCAGCATCTGACTACCAAAGAACTCAAGCTTATTTTATCAAAAACTTATTTTATAAATTCTTTCGGCTGGGTGCGATGGCTCACTCCTGTAATCCTAGCACTCTGGGAGGCCAGGTGGGTGTATCGCCCAAGGTCAGGAGTTTGAAACCAGCCTGAGCAAGAGCGAGACCCTGTCTCTACTAAAAATAGAAATAAATTAATTGACCAACTAAAAATATATATAGAAAAAATTAACTGGGCATGGTGGCACATGCCTGTAGTCCCAGCTACTCGGGAGGCTGATGCAGGAGGATCGCCTGAGCCCAGGAGTTTGAGGTTGCTATGAGCTGGGCTGATGCCATGGCACTCTAGCCCTGGCAACAGAGACTCTGTCTCAAAAAAGAAAAATTTATAAATTCTTTCCAGTAAATTCAGTTCACAGTTGAGTAAACTGTGATCAGAAGAGTCATGGCATTGGCCAGAAAAATTCTTAGTGCACAAGGTAAACCAAAGTCTGACTGCTGATACTTTACTTCCTAATTCCCACAGGAGATGCTGAACACAAGCCATATATCTGTGGAGATGCAGATTCTGCCTCTACAGTTTTGGATGGGACTGAAGACTACCTCATTCTGGCCTGTGATGGCTTCTACGACACGGTAAACCCTGACGAGGCAGTGAAAGTTGTGTCCGACCACTTGAAAGAGAATAACGGAGACAGCAGCATGGTTGCCCACAAATTAGTGGCATCAGCTCGTGATGCTGGGTCAAGTGATAACATCACTGTTATTGTGGTATTCCTGAGGGACATGAACAAAGCTGTAAATGTTAGTGAGGAATCAGATTGGACAGAGAACTCTTTTCAAGGAGGGCAAGAAGATGGTGGGGATGATAAGGAGAATCATGGAGAGTGCAAACGCCCTTGGCCTCAGCACCAGTGCTCAGCACCAGCCGATCTAGGCTATGATGGGCGCGTGGATTCATTCACTGATAGAACTAGCCTGAGCCCAGGGTCCCAAATCAACGTGCTGGAAGACCCAGGCTACCTAGATCTCACACAAATAGAAGCAAGCAAACCTCACAGTGCCCAGTTTATGCCACCAGTTGAGATGTTTGGTCCTGGTGCACCAAAGAAAGCAAATCTTACTAAAGAGCTAATAATGGAGAAAAAATCAGTTCTATCGTCATTGCCTCAATGGAGCGGTGCTGGAGAGTTTCCCGCTTCTTTCAATTTGGGTTCATCAGGGCAGCAGATACAGAGAATGGAGAGCTTGTCTCCTGTCTGTTCTGGGTTGGAAAATGAACAGTTCAAATCCCTGGGAAACAGAATTTCTAGATTGTCTCATTTTCGCCACCACTACTCAAAGAGGTGGCGTGGATTCAGGTTTAGTGTAAAGTTTTATTCATTTCTCTGTGCTCAAGAGCCGTCCCACAAAATAGGCACTAGCCTATCCTCACTTATTCGAAGTGGGAAGAGAAGTAGGATGTTGAGAAGTTCTCTGCCATGGAGGCAAAATAGCTGGAAAGGGTACAGTGAAAACATCATGAGGCAGCTCAGAAAGAGTAATGATATTCCATACCCAGATCTCCCCTGGAGCTATAAAATGTAATAATTTTTCTTTAAAGTAGGCTAGCTAGCTCTCCCCCAATAAAAACACCACCATCAGAGTAGAAACAAGGTAGACATTTCTAAAACATACATGCTTCATTATGAATCCATGGATGGCTCAATTCTTAAAATGTAAATAGATCTCTAGGAAACTCAAAATACAGTGTTTTCAATCTAAAAAAAAGTATTGGTAGTTTCACTTGCAAAACTATACAACTGGTCCCTGTGATGTGTCTCCACACCCACATACAACCCCTCCCACCACCCCTTCACGTCACTAGTGGAAGCTTGCGAGTCAGTTATGTCAGGATATATAGTGTTGAAATCTCAACGCAGTTGAAATTTGGTCTGTTGTGCCTAATATCTATGGAAAACTCAATGCAGAATTAAACTTAGTTGGGAAATGTCCCTCAAAATCCTGGGGACTGTAAAGGAAACATGCCCCCACCACTTTGGGGTAGGGAAAAGACTAAAAGCCATATGGTTTTTAACTGGTAACAATGAAAGTAAAAAACTAGTGTAAAAGTGTCGTCATCTCAGACTTGTGAGGCGGTTTACAGTCAAAAAGATTTATTGATTTTTTTTTTCTGTAAAATAGACTGAACATTTTTTTTGAATTAAAAAATATTTCCTAGGGCTGTAGTTATTTGGGGGTTTCATAACTTGTTATGGTGCTTTTGGTGGAATTTTTATTAGTTAGCATTTTAGGGGACCACTGTCAACTGGTTTTAATCTGTGATGCTAATATGTTTTTCACTGTACCTTCATCTCAGGAATAAAACTGGTTTCATGGAGATGATGTCAGGTACAAATATACTAGAATCAAAATGCCATTTAAAAAGAAAATCAAATAGCATTTTTATATTTTTTTCCTTTATTTTTTAGTTCAGACAGCAAAGGCATATACTACTATAAAATGTGGTTTTGGAGAATGAAAAGTGCTAATTTTAACTTCTCTAAAATTATTTACTCCAAGGGAATGAATTGTTATGAAGGAGGCTGAAAGTATTGCCTCAAGTGAGCCCAGAGGCCAAGTGCAAAGGAGAATGCAGATTACTGAGACACAGGTCTGTTTAGTTATAATTGGAGGACGCACCAGTGTCCTGCTACATGCAGCTTCTGACTGCAGATATAGGACATGTGCTTCTCATTTCAATAGTTATTGATATTTTAAAATTATCTAGTTTTTGCTATTTCTGAAGTTTCAAGCTAGAAGCATATCTTCAATTAAAGACAGCAAATAAATAGACTCCTTCAGTGAAGCAGCCTCTGATTTCTCTGAGCATCATAAATGTCTTGGCATTGCCCTCCCTTAGTCAACTATGGACTAGCCCCGCCAATGGACAAGGGCAACCCATTGCAGCGATTACTCATACTGTTAGGATGCACTAAATGTTCTTGCTGAGAAATGTCCATTGCCTAATCATATTTTTACATGATAATACAATTACTTTATGTTCCCCAGACTGATAACGTAAGACTGAAATTCCTGAATTTTAAAGACATAGATAACTATAGCATATTTTGGGTACCAGTATAGCTATATAAAAAAATAAATAAAAACAGCTTCACTTTAGCTATGATCAGATTGTTAATCTACAGATTTTATTTTTTAAAATTTGGGTGTAAGAGATTTTTCAGTATTTGTTTTCTCTTGATTTGGAAGTCAATTCTTCTTTTCTCAAGTCTGTGACACATGGTTGAGAAGGAGTGAGTAAACATGGCTCCAACTACAGAATTAGAATCTTTCATCATTCTGATGCTTTGCCCCCACACATGGACCTCACTCACAAATGTCATTTTCTGAAGCCTAGATCTTGTTAACAACCAATCAGGTGCAGTGTTGGTTCCAAATCAAATTATCTAAGAAAACAAGAAAACAGAGGCAGCAGAATATTGGTATACAAATATAGTCCAAAGTGCTAGGCTAAGTAAAACAAAAAAAATTCTATAGTCTATTGGTAATGTTTTTGATCAGAGTAAAGAAGGTGAAAGGAAAAAGTTACAAGTGATAGGCTTTTTCAGTCGGGAAAAATGGCTGGATGAAACTGGGACAAAGACCCATCTTTAAGGGTCTGTATTTTGTAGGTCCGACTACATAGCAGTGTTAATTCCATTCTCACACCATTAGCTCTCTAGAAAATAGAGAAAAGTAGTTCTAGTGTGGTCGTTTTAAACCAATATTGTAAAAATAGCTACTATTCATTGTTCACAACATGCATATTTATAGAGTAGTTAGGTACCATTTGTAAGGTAAGTCCTTTAAAATTCTATAATACATACTAAAGTAGTGGTTATCGGTCTGATATATGCTGCTCTTGGTTCTATAAATTAGATAAAAAGCAGTACTTTGTGAAATGCAGTGTTATATCTTAATGCCACTGGTGATAGAAAGTAGTACCCTTCAGTTCAAATCCTGTGCCCTTATTTGCTGCTTGCTGAAGTAAGCAATAAGTAACCCTCTAACGGTATCTACACATTTCTGTAACTTGTATTTAATGATGGTGTATCTGGTGATTGTAAAAATATTAGACAGATATAAAAGTATATAATATATATTAACTGTTAATGCTGAGGTATAATCTGTGAATTATGTGTTTTGTACTTTCATTCATTGTGTAATTTAGTGGTGGTGAAAGATCTACACTCAATCCTTAAAGAGTGGCAGTATCCCTTTTTCAGTCTAACATGATCTGCATCAATTTGTTTGCCTGCTAAACAAGTTTTGTTAGAATAGGAAATAGTAAAAACAAACATAGAGTGTAGTATTGGTAGGGAAACCGACTTCAAGTCACCAACTTAAATCATTACAAACTCCTTGTACATTCACTGTGAGTTTCAAAGGGAGTCAGTCCCTAACTTAAAGGTTTCTTTGTTCACTTTCTAGATGTGTACTTTTGAGGGATATCTGAGGTTAGGCAACATCACAGCATCAAATACTGGGGCTATTCATCCCACTTAGATCTGTAGTAAAAACGATGGGTAGAAATACATATGTATATACCTTTTCTTTACCTAGAAGTGCCATCCATTGTCCTTGAATTAATAAGATTAAAGTTACTGTTCTATTTAACTAGGTGGCTCCTTGAAAGTAATACCTTTTCCAAGGACAATGTCAATGTCAACACTGAGTCTAATTCTGACCACATTTATAGTGGTATAGTGTCAACACTGCATTTTCATGGCAACCACACTCCATTGTTGGAACACTGTGCCAGTAAGAAGTACAACATCCAACGGGCAGATGAAAATGATGCATAGAGCAGTTAGGTGTTTACAGATCAAATTGCTGTGGTTCAAGTATGTCCTTCCTCAGCAAAGCCTTGCTGAGAATTTGTGATCCATATTATTCGTTTTTAAACCTATTCACTCAATGAACATTTTCTCCTAAGCAAGGTCATAGAGGGGGATACTAGTTTTATTCACACCTTAATTCGAGATGGTTTTTCTTTGGATCATAAATAAGCAAAAGAACGAACATTTTTTCACCTTTGAAAATCATGTGATGTTAAAGGACAAATACCCACTCTTCTGTTTTGACCTGTGAATAGCTTAAATGTCTCTTGAAAAACAAGATACTGCCAGTATTATAATACAATATTTTCCAGAAAAATGGTACTGTGTTCAAAAATTGTTACTTCCTCTAGCAACATTTTATCTTCCATTTCTGAGCCTATTTATTGTACTAATTATAAAACATGAAATAGGACAGGGAACCCCAGACTGACACAGCAGTTGATTTTGAAAAAGGAAATACTCTAATAAACTTTGATGTATTAAATAATCCACAGATACATCATTGTAAACTCTTATTCTAGGTGCTCTTTGGTGAGACAGGCTTTGTTCTCTTGTTCATGACATTTCTCTGCAAAGAATTCTCTATGGAGTGAAACGAATGAAGTGAATAATTCCTTACCAAGTGAATTTATCAATTTACAAACCTGCTCTACAGCTCACTTTTGAGTTCAGTTGTAATCATGAGTGATCCTTCATATTTTATTAAAACTGTTCATACAGGTAAGGAGTATGTTGAAATTTTGCCAATTAATAAAACCCAACAACTTAAAACCACTAGTCATTGTGTTTTTTATTTAAAGGAAAGTTATTCAGTGTTTAAATTTGGACAGATTCCCTCAGAACGGGGGTTGGGGGGGGGGGGAGACGACAAACTACCCTGAGGTAATTTTCTTAAGCTTGGAATATTTAAAAAAGAAATTTGGTAAGTACTGCCATAACACTATTTTCCCCAGAAAATACAGAAGAGATCTGTTTCATCTTATTCAAGTGGGGGGAGAGGGAGACAGAAACATTAGAATCCTAAAATGAAAGAGGAACAGGACCTGCCATAGGCTAAATGGCGACTCCACTGGTCTCCCAATGACTTCATCCTTAGAACTCTGCATCCAACCACTCAAGCTTTTCCCTTTAACACTTTCCCCTTTTAGTTTCAAACTAGAAGAAAGTAAGAAAATAATCAGGTGAGTCGTGGTTCCAAGTCTTTCTGGAGGACTGTGGATAAGACAGAAAAGACAATTGTGGAGGACAGAAGTGAAGCCAACTGAGCAAGACACCTGCATCTAATGGGATGAAGTTGCTATAAAAAAGATCACGAGAAAAGAGAAACTTTTTCAGCAAGAGACCATCTGCGGATTGGGGTAGCATGACCTTAGGAAGGCCAAAAGTACACATTCTACAGAGAGGGAGGAGGAAGCTGGCTTTTATGACTTGTAGGATTTAACATACATATTTAGCAAGGGACGGGGAGTAAACGTGTGCACAGTGACATAACATATGTAACACACATCACTTATTCATTTTGGGGTTGAGTTTTAACATTAAAATGAGGTGGAGTTCAGCTCTTTACATCCAGAGGTCTTTTATAGGACTGCAGGAGCTTGCCAAAATTTTGAGTAATCGGTCTCTTGTCCAATCAAAGCAGTAGTTGTGGCTTATGAAACTGGGTGAGAGGTGGGTGGGTGGGGGTGTCAGTCAGTGCCTGGGGGTGGGAGAGCTGCAATTGTTTCAGGAGTGTTTATCTCCCAGGCCAGTGCTTGTTCAGCTGCTAGACACCTAGGGAAAAAGAAAAAAACCTTGTGGCAGTTACACACATTAGTTTACTCTTTAAGTGTAGGGGTGCATAATTTAACCCTTGCCTGGCATGACCTTAGGTCTTGTTTATAATTTGGTATCTTATTGCCACAAAGAGTCCATTCACTCAATCTTATCTCTATTTCAACAGAGTCAAACCTGAAAAGACAAATACACTGCATTGTCCTGTCGTCTTCTTCACCAAAAGGCCTTTAAAGTTACTTTCACAAAGTTACAACAGTCTTCAACTCCAAATTCCCTAAATTCATTCAGTCCTTCACATGACTTTATATAGAACCCATGAGGTGAGAAGTGAGAAAGTTCTGAAAAGATAACTTGAAGGGGTTTGCTAAAGCAGGGAATGACAGAAAAGGAACATTTTCATTGTTGTTTATACTTTTTAAAAAATCCCCTAAAATATAGTTATTACTTAGTTCAAAAGGAATACCTCTTTCTGAAGTAGCACACAGCAAGATGTAAGTGAACCACTAGGTACAGTAAAATTATTTGACTTCAATAGAAATTTACCCAAGTTACCAAATTATCAGACATAATTGTCTTCATTGATAAGGTATTTGATCATTTCCTTTGATTGCAAGGTTGTCATGTGTCATCTTAACAGCAGTCAGTAAAGAAACACTCTATTATTGCACTTTAGAAAACCTACTTTTGCTTGGCCTAGGAATAACCTTATGGAAGACCCTTTCTTATTTACATTTCAGACAAATCAGGTTCTTCTCTGAGACTCAAAACCAGTAAGTACTGTTCGGTGAGAAAGCACTCCTCCCTGGGCGGTTGGGTTTAGCAGGCCTCTTATGCTGAGCTATAGATGCTGCCCCAGTCATGGAACCTCAGGATGAGATGTACCTTGCTCTCATGGTACAAGCAGGGGCCCTCACACATAGGCTCTGATTTTTCTGATCAAATGTGAAAAACTGCCAGGAATGATATACATTTGGAGAGACCATTTCCAAACGAGTAACTGGAGTTTTTCAAGGATGAAAAAGTTGTCCCTGCCAGTCATCACACTGGTTGATTATGATAGCCAGAGCATTAGGGGTGGCCAATCAAGACATAGTTGCTATGGGTGCACCGGGTCAAATACAACCAAATAGGAAGTAAGCCTGTGGCGCAGCCTTTCCCAAATACACATCAGGAGACACTAATGGACCTGCAGGACTCAGGCAAGGGCTCTGGCTGGGCAGAGCTCTGTAGAGCATGCATGGAAGACTCCCTGTCAATGTGTCACCAGAGAAAAGAGTGTTTAGAAACATATAGTTTAGCTCCCTAACTACAGAGTGGCTAACATTATTACCATTTTGCTGTTAAGCATCCCTAGCCATGTTTAAAACTTCTATAAATCTATACTATGAAGGCATGTATTGGTTGATGTGGGAACCAGAGGTAGAATAAGGAGAAATCCAAAAATATCCCCACATAGAGACTAAAATGAATATGCAAAAAGGAAAACAGCTCTTGGAGTTTTCCTTTTTCTTTTTAAAAATTATTTAACCTGGAAGCATAGATTCAAGTTGCCTTGAATATAGGCTTGGAGTTTTCTATTTTCCAAATTTCTATAATATTATCAACTTTATAATTTAAAAATAAAATTTTAGATAAAAAATGGCTCATTTTCTGAGTTGTGGTTTTAAAATTAATTAAATTCATGTTAAATTCAACAAAATGCACTTTACATATTTTTTTAAAAATCACAGCACTTCCAGCCTCCACTCTGGGATGTAGAGGTGGGAACACTGCTTTCACTCTTACAATGAAAAAGATCCAGATTAGCTACAAATTAGGACTTTTTCCAAACCCACTGCAAACCTGAGGTTGCAGAGTAACCAAATGGCCCCAAATAGAGAGACAGGTAGGTACCGGTAGGATGTACTAGCACTAGTTTATGTAGGTTGGCTGTGAGCAGACCCTGGACAGCATAGTTTAGAGCTTAAGTGATGACAGGTGAAGGCAGAATATGGGCTGTAATATAGTGTGAAGTCCTGGAGGCCTGCAGAAACTGGGGCAGTCTGCCTTCTCTTGCAGGCTTTTTCTTCAAAAACTCTACTAGGTGCTCACAGAAAAGACTGGTAAGAACCCTAAGAAGTGTTAACTGTGGTGTCCGCCCAGGAGAGGTATACAACAGCCTTAGGGGAGGGTCACGAAACTCACCATACCCTTCCCCCCCCCCATCTCCTCTACAGAACAACAGTATTCTGTGGGAGAAAAGGGCCACAAATACTGCTGCCCTTAGGACACTGGTAAAAAGTCACTGCAGCAGAGGGAAGAAAAGCCCTACCCCTGGGGAAGGGGCAGAAATATCACTGTGATATCAACAAGCTAGAAAATGACAAGTAAATTGAGAACACCCTCCTACCACACACAGTACCCAAAACTGTAAGGGTAATCCAAGAATGCCAGTCCCTTCCCTTCCCAGCCCACAGCCAAGCTTCAAATAACAGAGTATTTCTGGAAGAAGGATAGGAGAGCAAGAAAAACACACAGAGACCCTTTAATCTGAGGGTCAGAAGAGACACTGCTCTGGTAATCCAATCCCAATCAGAAATACAAAGTATGACTATAGGAACCTAAAACCACTAAGGTTAATCATAGCAAAGACAAACCTCAAACCAAGTGCAACTCTTAATTACCAGATGAATTCAATCTTTGCAACAAAGGTCTAAGCAGCAGGAAAGGTCTGCCCATTTTCAGGGGTAGATGATAACTATTCACCAAAATTATCTTCTGTCCTATGTGGGATGTGTCACTTTTAACAAAATACAGAGCATGAGGAGGCAAGAAAAAACATACTCTGAAGAGATAAAGCAATTATCAGAACCAGACTCAGATACGACAGATTTTCAAACAGAGAATTTTAAATAACTATGGTTAATATATTTTTAAAAATAGTGGACAACATGCAAGATCATATGGGTGATTTTAGCAATGGTGAAATTACAAATAGAAATGTCAGACATGAAAAACAGAGATGATAAATGTTGTCAATAGCTAATCAATAGATGCTACACTGCTAGAAGAGAATCAGTAAACTTGAAAATAAGTTAGCAAAAATTACCTTAATTGAAACACAACAGAAAAAAAAAAAAAAGAAGAAAAAAGAAAAAACAAACCCAGAACATAACAGACAAGAGCTGTGGGCCACTATCAGTGTAACATATGCACATATATAATTGGAATCCTAGCAGGAGAAGTGAAAGGTCACAGAAGAAATAGTTAAAGAAGTAATGGCTGAGAGTTTTCCAAAATTAATGAGAGACATGAAACCACAGACACAGAAACTCAGAGAACACCAAACAGGATAAATACCAAAAACACTACACCTAAGAAGAAACCTTACAGATGGTCACCTTGGTGAATTTTACCAAACAGTTAAATAAATAACACCAACTCTATACATTCTTTACCAGAAAAGAGAACATTCATTTCATGAGGTCAGCATTACTCTGATACCAAACCAGATGAAAACAATAAAATTACAGATCAATATTCCTTTTGAATATAGATGCAAAAATTTCAGCAAAATACCATTACACATCATAATGGCTAAAATAAAAACTTCTGACAATACCAAGTGTTTGTGAGACAAAACTAGAACTCCTACATGTTGCTGGCAGTAATGCCACCAGCAATAAGTGATTGTACCACTTACGGAAATTTGGCGGCTTCTTATCAAGTTAAGAATATATTTATTATATGAGTGCTGACACCAATCACCTGGAGATAGGCCAAATTTTACCGACTAAGGGCAAAATCCTCCATAAGATTGCACGCATGGCTGGTGGCTCACACCTGTAATCCTAGCACTCTGGGAGGCTGAGGTAGGAAGACTGCTTGAGGTTAGGAAGTGGAGACTAGCCTGAGCAAGAGGGAGACCTTCTTTCTACTAAAAATAGAAAAATTAGCTGGGCATGGTGGCACATGACTGTAGTTCCAGCTACTCCGGAGGCTGAGGCAGGATCGCTTGAGCACAGGAGTTTGAGGTTGCTGTGAGCTAGGCTGACGCCACAGCACTCTAGCCCAGACAACAGAGTGAGACTCTGTCTCAAAAAAAAAAATTGCCCTAATTTCAGACACCAAGTCCAAGTCCAGGTGTCTTCAGGCGACTCTTAATTTGATTACCTAGATACAAATTTGGGGGTTCCTACTATCCCACTCAGGTTTCATAATTTGCTAGAACTCACAGAATTCAGGAAAGCACTTTACTTATGACCAGTTTTATTATGACAAAAGGATCCAAATATGAACCAAAGGGAGAGACACAGGGTGAGATCTGAGAGGGTCACAAACGTGAAGTTTCCTTGTCTTCAAGACAAGTTACCCTCCTGGCATGTTGACATATGTCAATA